TGGAACAAAGAAACAATCAGAGTTGTTTGTGGTTAATGTTCCAACATGTTTTAAAAGTCTGCTGACTCAAAACGAAGCCAAATTATAGTTTGGTCTATCTGTCTGTCTGGCAGGTGGATTTAAATTTAACAACCTTTATTTATCTCATTTAGTTCTCTACATTTAGGAGTTTTAGTTCTGTCAGTTGGAATATTGCAGTTGTGCACCTCATCTCTAAGGACATTTATGCAATTGACCTTAACACATAACTGGCGTTGGCGATGCTTGGTAAAAAAAAAAAAAAAAAAAAGACAGTATTTTATCTTTCACAGTAAGGTGAACAACATTTGCTTCTTATCAGCATAACAAGACGTGTATTGATAAAAAAAAAGGAAGTAAATGACATCTTTGTAAAAAGAGAACCTCTTCCTAAAACTAAATATTTCACTTTCAATCACTTACTTTGAGAACTGATTGCCAACCTTTTAACTACCCTGTCATGTTGAAATAATAAAAGACACTGCCAGTGTTCTGGCTTTTTTGCTATCTGAGTCTGATTTCTAGAACCAAGGTGCAAATCGTTACATGCACAGACTGAAGTAAATATTTTTCAATTCTTTTAAGCTCGGGTCTGCAAGAAATAAGACACGTGTGTGGAAAATAAAAACAAGTGGGGCAGCTGTATGCTGTTATTCTACAGACAAAAAAGAATCTGACCACTGTTTCTATTCAGATCAATTATATTGCAATACACCACTGTTCTTTTTTTAATGATTCAGGTCACTCAACCTTTAAGGTTTTTAATCAGGTGTATAGTTGTAGTGGGTCTATACAGCATGTATACTACTCTGTAGAGTAATACACATGGAATTGAGGAGGAGACATCAATTTGGGGTCTTAAAGTTGAATTGTGGACATTAGAGTGGTGAGCTGCTGTGCTGTAAAATGTATGAAAACTATATGTATGAAAGGTACCAGCTTAGGTACCAGCTGTAAGAAGGAAAATCCTGAACCTTCAAAAACATTTTGGAAAAAAAACTAAAAACATCAGAGTATCACATTCAACTCCTGGAATATTGAATTGGTCATTTAAGTAGGAGGGGAGGTCGTAATCGGTTTCAGCTGCGTCTGAAATAACTAGCTCATGCATTTATTACTTCCAGGCTGGACTACTGTAATTCATTATTATCAGGATGTCCTAAAAACTCCCTGAAAAGCCTTCAGTTAATCCAAAATGCTGCAGCAAGAGTCCTGACAGGGACTAGAAAGAGAGAGCAGATTTCTCCTGTTTTGGCTTCTCTTCATTGGCTTCCTGTTAAATCCAGAATTGAATTCAAAATCCTGCTCCTCACATACAAGGTCTTAAATAATCAGGCCCCATCTTATCTTAATGACCTTGTAGTACCATATCACCCTATTAGAGCACTTCGCTCTCGCTCTGCAGGCCTACTTGTTGTTCCTAGAGTATTTAAAAGTAGAATGGGAGGGAGAGCCTTCAGTTTTCAGGCCCCTCTTCTGTGGAACCAGCTTCCAGTTTGGTTTTGGGAAACAGACACTATCTCTACTTTTAAGATTAGGCTTAAAACTTTCCTTTATGCTAAAGCATATAGTTAGGGCTGGACCAGGTGACCCTGAATCCTCCCTTAGTTATGCTGCAATAGACATAGGCTGCCGGGGATTCCCATGATGCACTGAGTTTTTCCTTTCCAGTCACCTTTCTCACTCACTATGTGTTAATAGACCTCTCTGCATTGAATCATATCTGTTATTAATCTCTGTCTCTCTTCCACAGCATGTCTTTATCCTGTCTTCCTTCTCTCACCCCAACCGGTCGCAGCAGATGGCCCCGCCCCTCCCTGAGCCTGGTTCTGCCGGAGGTTTCTTCCTGTTAAAAGGCAGTTTTTCCTTCCTACTGTCGCAAAGTGCTTGCTCATAAGGGGTCATATGATTGTTGGGTTTTTCTCTGTATCAATTATTGTACGATCTACTGTACAATATAAAGTGCCTTGAGGTGACTGCTGTTATGAGTTGGCGCTATATAAATAAAATTGAATTGAATTGATTTGAAATTAATAACATGTACACTACAGGTGTAACACTGAGACGACTCGTAACAAAGGAATGTAATTTTTCCTGCCTTGTATTTGACTAGGGTCAGTGCCACTACTAATAGCTTAAGTCCTCCATTATTGCACATCAACACGTGCCTTTTCCACTATGACTTCCGGCACATTCTCAAAAATATGGAGGAGGTTCTAAGAGATAGACAGTTACTCTAGAAGAGTTGGACAGGGCCATGCAAGATCCTTAACTCATCAGCAAGATTGGCATCTGCTTGGCCACTGAATGTCTCTGACCAAACAAATAAAAACAGACTTCATGAAGGTGGCTTGTGAGCCCCACATCCTCCAGCTGGCCTTTTGCTCACAGCCCGGCACAGTGGAGGCATTTACCATAGAACACCAGAATTAGCAGGTCCACCACCAACACATGACAGACAGAGAACTATGGTGCCTTTAAGATCATTCAGCATGACCGGTCTGGCAATGGGTCAGTGATGGTCTGGGGAGGCGTATCCATGTCTTACTTCAATTTATTTATTATTTGGGCACTCTATGTTTGAGTTTTCAAAGGATTGACATAAATCAGTTAACTTGCTGGGTTACTAACTTAACTTGGAGTGAATAAATCAAAGAAAATCTTTATGCTTTTGTTGAAAATACAGCTTGAAAAGGATAAGCGGAAGCGAACGGATGGATAGATGGCAATGATATATGTTATATTACTAAATACCAAAGTAAAACATCATAGTACTGTTTGTATGCAGTGATATGATATAATGTGAAATAAAATATATAAAACTGAAATACATCATTAAAAAGCATTAAAATTGTTCCAGTAAAACATTAAATAATAGGTAAAACACCCCAAAAAACTATACAAACATCTTTGTCTCCATATATCACAGAGCCACAGCTCAGTGGCCGAGAGTCCAACATGCCAGAAAGCAAGCTTGAAGTGATTTATAATTTTTAATTAGTTTGATATGTTGGTACTCACCACAAACAGGCATTGATAAATGTCAGGAAATGTGAGTGTTGGTGGTTTTTTGCCCTTGTTTAGCTTCTATGTAGTATAAAGTTTCCTCCTTATTACTGGCTAAGGTGCTTGTATTTGTTTTGTTTTTTCATAGCAAATGCAATGATAATCCTGTTATCCTTATACCTGGGCACCACCAGGTTTTATCCGCAAAGGTTTTCTCAGCCACCTTTACAATCATCTCCAAGACCTATATTCCCTTAAGAAGTTAGTGGTAGTGAGTGTGCAGTTTTAGAGAGTTAGGATTCACTCATTATGTTTTTACATCTGTGGACAAAACAAAAGGACAATCTTTCCCAATTGGCAGTGTCAAAGCCAGTTACTTTCCCTTGGACATGTTTTAATCAGACAGTCAGCACGGTGAGGCATTTCCAGGCCTGTTTTCCTTTGATTGTGCAGTTGTATCAGTGAAATGGAAAATCAGTTTTGTTTTTGTTTTGTTTTTTTTAGTTACTTCATGAATCAGAGTAAAAATGGAACTGAATGATCAAAATACTCATTTGCCTAATAATTCTGCACTCCCTGTAGATTCCTTTGTACAGTTTTTATAAATTGTGCCAATGTCCAAATACTTATGGACACTATATGTTTAACAGTTAGGTGCTGGATTACAAAACAAACCAACTGACTATTCTTTCTACAGTGTACCACTGTGTTATCTAGCAATGTACTAATCTGTGATTGCATACTGTGAAATAGTTTTAACTTCTACACACCAGCACCTGCTGAAAACAAAACTGACATCACATCATAATTCTTCCTGCAGGATCACGAAACGAAGCTTGGGGAATGGATGGAAGTCATGAAGAAAAAAAAATGTCATTCATTATAATGTGACAGTTGGTTTATAAGCTGCACCTGTTTCACCACAGGAGTCATGATTGATGATTGTCTCCTCAAGATTAATTCTTGAAATCAGTCATACATAAGCCTACTCTAGCATTCTGAGCTGCAGATCAGTACACGTGAGAAAGTTCCAACATTAAAAGGTTTGCATTTCTATGCTTTATGGTGCTTTGGACCTTTTCACTCTGTTATCAATAAATGTTAGTTATGATGCAAAATCACTTTGAGTAATGTAATTCCAGTGTGGGATATAAATAGATAAGCACATATTTTTAAAGCAAATTTAATAAGCCGACTTGTGTCTTGGTATTTAGTGTATGTATAATTTCAAGGTTAATAAAGAAAAAATGGACAGAGGAGGAAATCAATGGGTGAGGCAAAAGAGAAACACACTTAAAAATAAAACATTGGAGGAGTTTGGTTTGTTATCATCGTAATTTAATTTGTCGAACTGCCTTATAGTTCAAACTTTATATTATATAATGCTTAAGAGCTACTATGACAGCTGTGCATAAAATGCAAATGATTTAGTGTTATGAATAATGATTATTTCTGAGCAAAATTCTTCATTCCTACCGTATCCTGACACCCATCAGCTGTATTTATAGTCCTTATGCCACGAGCCAGCTCTGAACCTTTGCTTCTGGGTCCAGGTCGGGTTGAGTTTAGTACTGAGTTTTACCAGTGCAGGACTCGAAGGTACATCATAGATGTAAATTAACATATTTTAAAAAACAGCAGCCAGCATGCATATTAATACCACTGCCCATGCCACCAGCAGGTGACAAGGAAAGCTAAGTTTGTACATTTACAAATCACAGCTTGCATCAGCAAGGTTCTCTAATACAGTAGCAGTGGTTATTACTCAAAAGCAAGGGTGTTTGTATGTATGAGTGTGTGTGTTTATAGCATCTACACCAGTAATTTATCACATGAACCAATAAACCAGGAAAATCTCAAACACTGTGTATGTGTCAGCCATTACCTAAGGGCTTTCTGGAGCTGGTATTTTGAAGATGTATGCATCAGGGCATATGAGTTTATTAACAAGTGTTCAAGTAGAAACAATGACTCACCACAGTTCTCCTCATCTGCTTGATTTCCACAGTCATCGATACCGTTGCAGTGCATGAGCTGAGGGAGACAAAAGGTCAGGTTCCCACAGGGGAAATATCCTAGTGGGCAAGTCCTCCTCTCCTCTGTCATATTGAGTGCTGTAAACAAAGCAGAAAAGCAATATGATTGAATAGAAAGTTTCTGATACTCTACTTTATTCCTGTCAAATGTGTCAGTAAAATGTAACATCTATCAACCTCATCTTGATATTTTTGTGAGCTCCTGAACATCCAGGCTGCTGTTCTTTCTGCAATCCATAACGAGCTGCTGTACTTCATTAAGCAATCTTAAATAACTGATGTACTTCAGAGACAGAACAAAATGTATTACCTGGTGCCTGCATCAAATGTAAAATGGGCTTTATGAAACAAGGACGTCTTCTCTATTCTTTCATTCGCACTCTAACTATTAAAATTACATACTGAGTCTGCCTTTGGTTCAAAAAACAGTATGTGGGCCCAACTTTAGGTTATACATTAAACCCAGTGTTGGGGAGTAACGGAATACATGTACCGCTGTTACGCATTTAAAATACAAAATATGAGTAACTGTATTCCGTTACAGTTACCGTTTAAAAAGGTGGTATTTAGAATACAGTTACTTTGTTGAAATAAACGGATTACACGGCAGTATTTCCCTGTTTCATATTGTGGCGGGTCAGGACTGTTTGGGTTTTGTTTGACAGCTATCTTCTGTTGTTCCAGGCGGCAGCGTTACGGTTGCCATGGTTACAGGGTGACACTCTCTCTCTCTCTGCGTGTTTCCTGGGTGAGAGAGCGCCTTTTTGTTGTTGTTGTGCTAAGCTAATAGGCAGAATGCTACCGGTATAGCTCTAAAGAATGTAGCATCATAGGCAGTGTAGTCCGTGTTGCAGGGAGAATGGACTGCCATACCCGTTATGTGTCTGTGAGCGAGGGAGGGAGAAAAAGGAAAAGTATGAGCTGTCATCGAGCAAAAACGGGAGCTGGAAGCATGTAAATATAATAATAACCACTGCAGCCAAGAAGAGTGCCTGACGAGCCCAGTTGTAAGTAAGCGATTAAGACTCGACTGTACACCGTGTTTGTGTTTTCCTCCAAAAACAATAAGTTCCGTTGGAGCAGCCTTTCAACGCCTCTCTCTGTCTCTCGCTAGCAAAGTTGACCCAGACAACAAAGTAAAGCTAGTTTTCGGCTACGAGCCCGACACAGAACCCACCGTATTAGTCAGAGGTCCCTTTACTACGTTTCAGAGCCGCGGACCTTCAGTAATAGTAATAAATCACAGCAATAGTACATTCATGTAGTTGTAAACAGCATGATAATATATTAAGTAATCCAAAGTATTCAGAATACGTTACTCTCATTGAGTAACGTAACGAAATACGTTACAGAATACATTTTGGGGCATGTATTCTGTATTCTGTAATGGAATACATTTTAAAAGTAACCTTCCCAACACTGATTAAACCTATACTGGCATTCCTGGACTGACACCCAATTATAATCCCAATCTACTCCTTTTCTTCAATCCTTTCTCTTGCCCTTAGCGCAAACTGTTAAAGTAAAGTAAATGCAGGTGCTTTATTTGGTATTATATAATGTGTTTGTGTGTGTGTTCTTTAAATAATATTTTGGGATAATAAACAATGCCTCATGTTGTCAGGCCTAAAAGACCTGCTCTTGACTTGAAACATTGCACCTTTGAGGTATCAAACAAGTTGAACAGCTGAAGGTGGAAACTAATCAAAAGGTTTCAGTCATGGCATGCTGCACATGCTTGTATTTCTGATTATGTTTACAATAAAGTCCCCTCACACTTTATTTTCTGTGAAAAAAACAAAACCATATCAGCTTCACATCTTGAAACCTGATGGCATGAAATTAGATTCTGTCGAGTAAAAGTCACTGAATTTTATACATCAAGCTGGACAGTTTCATTATGCTGAAAATGCTGGGAAATCATTTTAATCTCTTTTTTATTCTGATAACACCTGGTGTGCCCAACATTTCTGCCTCCTTTTTGTTTTTCCTGAAAGGAACTAATACAACACCGGTGCGCTAATACCAGGCAGGGTTAGCAGCACCTGCAATCATAAAATAAACATATGCCCTTAATATTTAAAACAGTTAAAATCATCATATTACTCTCTAACACTATCAGTCTTTTCTTGATTCTTCCTAAATCACCATGTTAGTGATGGATTGTGAACAATATATTAAAATTTAGCTTTCAAAACCCAGGGGGTTTAATCTGTAGTTCAGTTCAATTACAGTTCAATCTGTAATTTAAATCAGTTTGGGAATACTAACATAGATCTCACACATCAGTAGTTACTCACTGCAGCACAATAAGATGGCATGCTGGCAGTGTTTAAAGTCTAATACATAAATAAGAATAACCCAAATCTCCGATGTTTGGCTTCTTGCTTTTTCCCTCCTCAAAGAATGAAAATTAAAGCAATTCTTAGACGTTAGCTTTTGCCTGTAGATGCTGGTGCTGTCACTTAACCTAACTGCCAACAGTCTTAAATAGGTGGTGTAGGAAATATGAGTGGCTGTAATTTTAAATGAACTTTTCAAAAGAAGTGCATTTACACAAATTTGACAATGAGCATGAGCCACTCATCAAAAATCAGCATGTATCAGCATGTTTTATTTTTAAGCTCAAGTAAAAGGCAATTATATCAGATATTTAGTTGCTGCTGAACTTGTAAAGCAGAGTAGCAAAGGCAGTTTATTTAATTCATTGGATTCAATTGAATCCACTGTTCCAGAATTGAATAAACAGTTTTGTAGTTATCACTTTTAGTCTTTTAACCTAGGTTTCTAGAAGCCTTCTGAGACACTTGTGCAGGGAAGGGTTTATATTTTCATTTAATTTGAGCTCATCATCTGTGACAGCTGATTTTCTCCTTGCTCATCATGAATTTATTTCCTCTGCGACGGCAGAATATGTCACATAAGCATCTGCATCAGGTTAAACTAGGGTGATCAAACACATTCATTTCTGGTTAACTCTAAAAGACTCGCTATAGACAGACAGGAAGACTTGCTAGCCTTGCAGCATAAAGGCTGCAAAGTAAACGATTAAATTCTCCTTTGAAAACCAGCATCTGAACACATAACCCCTAATCCCCTAATGTCTAATGACTTCTACTTTATTCAAACATAGCACACAATCTCTCTTTAACAGTGGAGAGCTATAAAGTATGACAGTATCACACACTGTAATAATATATATTAGATTCGATTTTTTTAAAATAGAAAATAAAATACAATCAAAATATATAGCACAACATAAGTTTTCTGATAACTTGCAGGGAATATTCCTTTAGAAATCACATGGAGGAATGCTTCTGTTGCATTACCATTTAAGATTATTTACTGACTAAACTTTTCACACTTTATCCCTAAATGTTTCTAGCTATTAGCCAATGGAATTGTATACGTGAAGCCAAATGTTCAGCTCACATTGCTGGATATTAAATGGTCTTGTCTCTGCCAAACCCCTATTGCAAGCTCTGATGACACCCCTTAACCAGACTATTTACTGTAGTGAAAACATGTCCTTGCCTTGTTTTGTGTGCAACACGCAAGAAAAAGAAACTTCAGCTGATAGTGTCTGGACGTGATCGTTGTGCCTCTGCCAGTGCCCGATGTTCATAATAACTGAACAGAGAATTAAATATTCTGAACGTACTTGGCTGCCGATGATATATGAATTCCTTGGTGATAACTTGTCTGGTTAAAAGTGACATCCACAAATAACAGCCACAACAAGCCATTTCAAAACTTTACATTTTCAGTTTACTTCCTCAGTAAGCTGAAAATTTAAAAAAAGTACCAAGTAATTAGCAAACTGTAATATTTAGCTAGATAAAAACTTTTCACATGGTTAGTTAATTCTTTATAAAGGTCTATAGCCATTATAAATACCAATAAATATGACAGTTATTTGGTTTTTTGTTGTTTTACTCTAATTATAACTTGATTTGAGAATCAGTTGCTTACTTTCCTAGGACACATATAAGGTTTCTCTACATTCACTTACTTATATTCTTAGTTAACATGAACTAATCAATGATCCCATTAATCACTCTTCAGGACTGGACATTTCAGTGATTGTACTACACAGTATAAGAATAATAAAGCATATCACAAATAACAGTGAAAATTATTCTATTATTAATTGTACACTCTTATATCAGCTCGTTTCATCAGTTGTTTGTCTAACATTGTTTATTTGTAATATTTGCACGTAACCGTTCAGTTACAATATGCTGTTCCTCAATATTTAGACTGACACAAGTACATTCACTTAGATGAGCGTGCAATTTGTATTACAGATAAGCTGCTCATCTAAAAAAGTGTGATATTTACACTTTGAGCATAAACCCTTCAGGCGGATAATTGCTGTTAGGGTTACAGCATAATGAAGAAAAAATGGAGGAAATAACTCTTTAATATGCATATGCATATTCCCCAAAATTTAATGGGAAGTTTCACTACTTTCCTAACTAACTATCCCTGACTTTTCAGCTGGCATCAAAGACCAGCTGCAAATATTCAACATTTATGCAAATGGATGTCTTATATGTTTACTTATATGTTGTATATATGTCATATGAAATAATAGTGCATTTAATAACAAGTTCAAACATGGACTCAAGTGAAAGAAATGTGAGAAAATTCATTAAATATGCTCTAAAATTGATCTGCAACTACTCAGACAGCTCTTATACTATATTGACTGTCTCTGGGATTGTTTCAACATGCTGCAGCCCCACAAAAGCTGATAAGGAAAGAGGTAAGCACACTGACAAAAACTCAGAGAAGATGGTTTGCCACAGATGTGGTCCAACAGTTTCTACTGACTGATTGTGAATTATGGTTCCAAAGAGCTTTGTGGCAATGCTCTGTGAGATTCTGGGATAAAACCAATCAGCTGTTTGACTGTGACAACATACAAACTATGCTCTTAATGGGCTGTTTTCTGATGCGACAGATCCATTTTTCACAATACAGCACACAGTATAGACATTTTGTCTTCCAGTGCATGGTTGTATCTAGAATCTAATCAAAGAAAATGCAGCTCATTTCTTCCATGACTAGTTTTAGCGTAAAGTTCAGAGGTGATTCAAATGCAGACACAAGAAAACAGGATGGAGACAAAGCTGACATTAATTAATGTAATCAATTCTACACACCAAAAGGCACTGTAGAGTGAGCACCATACTCAAAATGAAGTCTAACTAATAACTTGGAAGGATCAAAAAGGAAAACAAAGCCTTGGGGAGTCACACAGAGACAGAACCACTGGGGCGGAAGGGAAACAGACAAGTCTGCAACTGACAAAGGATGCACAGGGCTAAATACACAGAGAGCTAATTGAACGCAGGTGAAATTAATGAGTGTGGACAGAGGATCACAAATGAGGCAAAAATCAACAGAAAACACAGAAAGTTATCAAAATCAAACAAGAAGTCATTGCAAAGAAACCTTAAGAGAGACAAAGGGAACCAAAGACAGCAGTCATGGGGGGGAAAGGAATGAAAATTATCCCAAAGAAAATCCTGGGACAGGTTATCACTGCCCTGCTGTCATTAGTTTATAAGCTGTATGACAGTCTTAAAAGCTTCTTCTCAAACAACACGTCTGTCTCAAACCTACAGCTGAACACGGAGTGGTGTGATCAGTCCAAATAATGCACTAAATAGGTTTAAAATATCAGGGAGATATTAATATCTCAAACATTTTCTTGGTCGGTGCCTTCATTTTGCAGTGGCTCCGCTTGGACTACACTCAGCGACAACAACTGGCAGACTTAACTCGGTGTTCCCTTTAGGTTTCCCCCTGCTCTAAACCTTAATACAGGATGCCACACAAGTAGCAGAGTTACCGATACAGTAGTGAATGCACTGCTGTTTTATTAGATTATGAATGCTTTAGATTAAGAAAAGCGAAGATAATTCCAAAAAAAATCGAACAAATGGCAAATTCTCTGCAGTCCAATAAATGTAATAAACATGCAAAACAAACATCCTCAGACCCACATGCATAATAACATGAAATGGGACTGAAGACATTAACTGGGCATGTTTATTGATTACAATTACGTCCACATTTAGATAAGCTTAAATTGTATAATATTAGAGGTGGTTATTAGTGGGTGGAATAGCCATTGCACCGAAAACGATTTTAAATACGACCAATTCAAGCTATCGTGAAAGCAACAGAATTATCCTGCTACATCTTCTGTCATGCATTCGATAGAAACCCTGGAAATCACTATTCTCTCTCCCTCTCTACCCTTTTTGTTGTCCGTGCTTATGTGAAAGATATTTACTTGGATTTACCCGGCGGCTACTTCTTAAAAGACATTATTAGAAAATATGTTCCCTTTAAAATTGGTGTGAAAAAAAAAATAGATTTTGGAACACTTGAAAAAAGATAACTTATCTACAGCCAGCCCATATTTTCGTGATGAAAGAAGTTGTTAAACTTACCCCACACTCCGTAAGCGAATGCCACAGCTATATAAACTTGCATCGTGGCGCTTTGGGTTTTTTTTTTCTTTTTTCTTTTGCTGAATATCGCGCGGTTGAAGTAGTAAGAGAACAACGCAATGGTCGTCTACTCGTGCAGACTGGGAATCTGTGCGTAAAAATGTCACCAAAAGTTTGCCCTTGCGTTCCTGTTACGTAATAAACGCGTGGACCGAGGTACTGTCAAACGCGTGCGGTGCAGATGCAGCTAGAGAAGAACCCGCTGCCACTTCGCAAAGTCGACTAGGTCTGCAGCCATCTCCACTAGCAGAGGGGTCTAAAGAATCAGTTGCCATCTTCTGACGCACAAGCCGCAGCAGTACAGGTGCAGCGCGCAGAGGGCGCTCGCAGGAGAAAAGGGGGTGGGGGTGCAGTCTGGGTCTCTGAATAGGAGGAACAGCTAAAGTCCAAAAGCAATAATCAGTTTCGCTGATCAAATTTGTAATCAGTAGGTGTTTGTACTGAGCGCTAAACTTTAATTGTGCAGCACAGCACCCTGCAGAGTCTACAAAAGCCTCAATGACA